ATTTTCATATATAAATTTATGTTAATCTCAACTTTAGAAAAAGTTTCAATAAATAAATCTAATTGATTTTGTTTTTCGCTATAGATTGTCATGCTTAAAACAATGAATAATGTGACTACATTTTTTCGCTTTATTACTTCTATTTATATTCATAGTCAGGTAAGTTTAGAAGAAAAAAAAACGAAACACAATAAATGTGTTTAGATATTTGAATAAAAATAAAACTCTTCTACAGTATATTGGGTATGAATCTTTTTGATTGCAAATATATTGAAGTAAAACATAGCAAACGTCTTGAATTTGAATGTTCAAGAAAAAACTTCGATTCACTTTTTTTGGGCTATTTTAACTGTTTTTCAAGTAAAATTTACTTCATTTTTTAATTGTTCATGCTTTTCTAAAAGAAAAAAATGCTAAAGTTAAATTGTTGTTCTGCTTCTTAATGTTGTTATTGATAAATGTGTCCATATAGTATTCTTTGTATGCATTTATTTGGTGATGAATTTTGTTTAATAGAAGCATTTAATATAACATCACATAAAGAAATTCATATTAAATGTAAATGTTGTACATGTTATCAAAATGATTTTTTCTAAAAATTATACTCATCTCAAAGATTTTTATTGTTTACAACAGAGAAAATATTTTGATACATTAGTTTTTGCATTATTAACCTTTTTTCAAGTAGCTTTTCTCAAATACTATCCTACATTAGACATTATTCCTTCGAATCATATTAACTCTATTTTACCTTGCAAACCAAATTTAACCTATTTAGCAGCCTAATTAGAAAATTTTCAAAGGTGTTTCACCATTTCTTTTTTTCTAAATAGTTAATAAGAAAGAAAGAAAAACAACAACAAAACGATTAAACTTCATCGAAGAAAATAATAGAAAACGATCTTCTTCGATAAATTCTCATTGGAAACAATTTTGTATCTCTTATCTTGTTTGCTCATTTTATACGTATATGTATAGTTATTGCTTAAATTTTTGCACTATATACCTATTGTTATATGTCTGCTTGCTTAAAACACAGCTAATCACATAAGATAATAATTCGCAAAAAATATTTTTAAAATAGGTTTTAACTTAAGAAGATCGGAATGAAGTACTTTACAATAGCATGGAAAATACAAGTGTATGAGCAGTTTTGTAATTTATTGCATTGATGACATTTGGAAATTATGTTTTATTTAATTTACTTGTTGCTATTCTTGTTGAAGGATTTTCTACAGAAGTAAACAAAAAAAAAAGAAAAGAAATAAAATATTTTCTTTTCTATTAATTAAATTGTTGAATTAAATAGAAAATGGGTAATAATTCTGATACTGGAAGTAATTCAAATTGATATGGAAAAGTTGATCCATTCAAAGTAAGAAGAATTATTTACAAGTGATATTGATATAACTGATAATTCACATGATTTAATTAGTGATGAAACAGAAAGTCATAAACAAACAAGTCAAGATAATAAAAATACTCGAACTAAATTTAAATAAAAAAAAAATAGTTTAATATTATTTCAAGAAGTAAAAATAGTGAGTATACTAAAAAAAATTGCAATAAGTAATAAAAATGATTCAAGCTTACGTGTTGTTGAAAACCAATTAAATAAAAGTTCAAATCGTAGCTTCCTAATTGCGACCAAAAATTAAGCCAATTAAGAAAAAAGTGGTCGCAATTAGGAACACAGAAATTTACGTTGATCTCATTTTTAATGCGTTTCCGAATTGCGACCACTTTTATTAGTTAGCTACTAATCAACAGTTTGATTGAAAACAATATTTATTAACAAAACAAACAGATAACAAAAAATTTATTCTTCATCACTAGTATCTTTGGCATCTTTTATAATATCGATATAACGATGAGAAATAGTTCGTAAAACTTTTTGATAGTCACCAAAATTTTTATCTTGAAGATATTTTTTTTTTTGCTAACATAAGTTTATTATCATCTTTTATATATCTTCCTTTTCTTAGTCTTGTTGTTCGTTTTTGTGCTTGTTCTTGTTCTCACGACTATATATAAACTTTATCAATAGGACAGAACTCATAATCTATTATGTGCATAACTAATTAATAAAAGTGGTCGCAATTCGGAAACGCATTAAAAATGAGATCAACGTAAATTTGTGTGTTCCTAATTGCGACCACTTTTTTCTTAATTGGCTTAATTTTTGGTCGCAATTAGGACATAGCCGTTCAAATTCAAATAATTTATCACCATATAAATCAATAATTAAAATTCGTTCATCTCAACTTCAATCATTATCATCATCAACAACACAAAGTTTTCATACATGTATTGAATCAATGGATAAATAATCTTCAGAAACTTCATTACCTGTTCATAGAAGTTATACGCAATGAACACTTAAAAATAATTCATTTACAAC